TTCTTAAATTCAATCTCTAGGGTATATTGATGTGGGGAAAAATGGGTTACACTGTTAAATTGAATCTCTTTAGGCTATATTAATGTGTCCAAATACGGGTTACATTCTTAAATTGTAATTAACAAGTGTATACAGATGTGTACAAAAACAGGTTACACTCTTAAATTGTAATTATCAAATGTATATACATGTAGATGTGTACAAAAAACGGGTTGCCCTCTTAAATTGATTCTTATTAGGGTATATATGTATGTACAAAAACGGGTAACACTCTTAAATTGTATGTATCAAATGTATACATATGTGTACAAAAACATGTTGCACTCTTAAATTGAATCAATGCAATGAATTTGTGTGTGTGCGAAAACGGGTTACACTCTTAAGTAGACCCTTTTCTGGCCATGTAGATGTGTACAAAAACGGGTTGCACCCTGAAATTGAATCCATTTAACGTTTGCATGTTTGTGCAAAAACGGGTTACACTCTTAATTGATTTTCTTTCGGGTAAATAGGTGTGTGCAAAAACGGGTTACAGTCCTATGTATGATATGCAATATTTTTGGGCTATATAGGTGTGTACAAAAATGGGTTGCACTCTTAATTGAATCTCTTTCGGGTAAATAGGTGTGTGCAAAAACGGGTTACAGTCTTTTCTCTTATACATAATCATTTGTTTGGCTATATAGGTGGATACAAGAACGGGTTGCACTCTTAAATTTCATCTATATAAGGTGTCTGTACGTGTGCAAAAACGGGTTGCATTCTTAAAGTGCATATGTCAAGTGAATATAGATGTGTACAAAAACGGGTACACTGTTAAATTATTTGTTTTTAGAGTATATAGTTCGTTTGCAAAAACGGGTAACACTCTTATAAAGAGAATCTAATCAGGCTATATAGATGCGTACAAAAAAGGATTGAACTCTTAAAATGATGCCATTCAAGGTATACATGTATTGGCAAAAACGGGGTTCACTCTTAAATTTATTTCTAATTAACGTGCTTATATATGTACAAAAAACAGGTTGCATTCTTAAAATTAATCTATATACTGTTATAGATGTGTAGAAAAGCGGGTTGCACTGTTGAATTGAATCTCTTCTGTATAAAGGTTGTACAAAAACGGGTTACACTCTTAAATTTAATCCATATAAGGTATTTATACTTGTGTTAATAACGGGTTGCACTCTTAAATTGCCTGCTTCAAGTATATATAGATGTGTACAAAACAGGTTACACTGTTAATTAATTGTTTTTAGGGTATGTAGGTGTGTGCAAAAACGGGTAACAGAGTCTTATAAAGAATTATTGTGGCCGTATAGATACGTACAAAAAACGGGCTCGACTCTTAAAATGAAGCCATTCAAGCTTGTAAATGTGTATGCAAAACGGGTTACACTCTTTAATTTTTTCTAAGTTAACGTGTTTATGTATGTACTAAAAGGTTGCATTCTTAAATCTAATCTAATTATGGTATTTTAAAAGTGTGCAAAAAACGGGTTGCACACTTGAATTGAATCTCTTTACGGTTATAATTGTCTGTGCAAAAACGGGTTACCCTCTTACTTGGCTATATAGTTGTGTACAAAAAGCAAGTTGCACTCTTAAATTCAATCAATGCAATGAGTTTATGTGTGCCGAAAACGGGTTACACTCTTTAAGTAGACCCTTTTTTTGGTCATGATAGATGTGTACAAAAACGGGTTGCACTCTGAAATTGAATCCATTTAACGTATGTAATGTTTGTGCAAAAACGGGTTACACTCTAATTGAATCTCTTTAGGATATATGGGTGATGTGCAAAAAACGGGTTACAGTCCTATGTCTGATGTACAATCTTTTTTGGCTATTAGTTGTGTACAAAAACGGATTGCACTCTTTAATTGAATCAATTCTATGTATTTATTGTGTGCAAAAACTGGTTACACTCTTACGTAGAGTCTATTTTGGCCATGTAGGTGTGCACAATAACGGGTTGCAACCCATTTAACATATGTATGTATGTACCAAAAACGGGTTCCCACTCTTAATTGAATCTCTACGGGTATATAGGTGTGTGCAAAAAAACGGGTTGCACTCTTTTAGTGCATATATCAAGTGTATATAGATGTGTACAAAAACGGGTTACATGTTATTATTAACTGGTTTTAGGAGATATATATCTGTGTGCAAAAACGGGTTGCACTCTTAAATTGTATAATATCAAGTGTATATAGATGTGTAACAAAAACGGGTTGCACTCTTAATATAGACTCTTTTTTGAGTATACAGGTGTGTACAAAAACGGGTTACACTCTTAAACGGAGTCCATTAGGGTCATATAGGTGTGTGCTAAAACGGGTTGCCACTCTTATATAGGATTTAGTTTGGATATATATGCATGTGCATAAATGGGTTGCACTCTAGTATTTGATATGTCAAGTGTATAAAGACGTCTACAAAAAACAGGTTTGCACTCTTCAATTGACTCTAGGCAGAAATGAGTTATGACCAGTTTGGGGTTAGACAACATTTGTTGAATAGCTGGAAACAATAATTTTTTAAAGATACTTTGGTATTTTACGAAACATTGTAATTTATATGATATCATCATAAAAAAACAAAATTACATTTTAAACTTTTATTGTATATAATTATATAAACTAGAAATTATTCCATAGTTTTGAATAATAAACAATAAACAAAAATAAAGTTATCATTCATCTATGTATGAAAATATGTAATAAATGATATAAAAACTATAAAATAACTATAAAACAATAATCGGTTGCCATGGCAACAAAAATATTAAAAAAATACTTCAAAATACAACATTATTGCATTTGAACAATGGATTAATTCATCACCAAATTAATGTATTTAAAGACAACCAGATTTAAGACCTTTCAGAAAAAAGAAAAAAAAAAGATTTTTCATTCTTCCCTTAAAAATGTTTTAAATAACAGAATATAAACTTAAGTCTTAAATTCTCAGAATGTCAGTAAGTTTTCTGTGATTAAGGTGAATATTATTACTTGGTTTATACAAATTTTATTTTAGTTTGATTGTGTTGGAAGCTATAAAGGCCTTATTTGAAACACTCTAGAATCCGTTCCTGGAACCAACCAGTACTAAGCAATGAATGTAAGTTTCTTGCTCAAGGAAACAACGACTTGACCCTGACAGAATTTGAACCCACGCGGTCAGCAATCCTTAGATTACCTAGGCCGACGCGTTAACCACTGGGCCACGCCGCCACTTAAATAAAAAATATCATTACTTAAGTAAGTCCTCAATAAAACTCATAGCTGTAACATGGTGGCATAACATTATTAATACGATGCAAAACATATACATTCCTTATTGCAATGATTACAAAAAAGTGTATATTTTGGTTGCCGTGGTAACAAAAAATGATGCCAAAACAAGATTGCATTTGTAAGGAAAATGCCAAAGCCACGACACTAATTTAATGTAGGAACACAATTTTTTTGTGTCTATACAGATTGCCATAATGCATTTGATCACTTACCTATCTAATTGTATTATCAGAAAAGTACCTTCAGACAAGTAGATTTTAATTTTTTACTTTATGACACAGTGACTGAAAATCAATGATTCCCAGGGGCAGGGCCAATTTTGACCTCAGGGCTATAATTTGAACAATCTTGCTAGAGGTTAAGAAAGTGCAGAGTACCAGTTTTTGTGCACTGCACTTCTTCTTAATGAGATCTATCATCCTATGAATTTCAAGTCCATAGACTTTACTTTAGGAGAAATGGCCCGGACAAAAATAAAGTATGAAAATTAATTAAGGCAATAACTCTAAAAAATTTAGAAATGCAGAGTACCAGTTCTTGTGTATTGCACTTCGGGTCATTATAAGAAGCTATGCATACTAAGTTTGAAGTCAATTACTTATAATTACTTATAATAACTGACTTATGCTCCGGACAAGCTTAAGGGGACACCGCCACCGACACCGCCGACAAAAGTAACCCCTATTAATGTCCCCTTTTTCAAGGCGACACAAAAAATTATGATCCCCAGGCGGGGCTTATTTTGACACTAGAGGCAAAATTTGAAAACTTTGGTAGAGTACATATAGATGATATCATATACCAAACGCCTTGTATTTTCAGACAAGAAGGTTTTTTTAAGTTTTTACTATATGTACATATAGTGAAAATCAATGACCCCTGGGCGGGCCCAATTTTGACCCCAGGGCTATAATTTAAACAATCTTGGTAGAGGTCTACCAGACAAAGCCTTATGCAAAATATCTATGCTCTAGGCCTTGTGGGTCTTTACAAGAAGATTTTTAAATTTATCCTTATAATTCCTTTTGGTTGCCATGGCAACCAGATTTTCTGCATGGAATGAAATTCTTGAACAACTTGTCAAGTTTGGTTTTGAAATTGGACTATTGGTTTTTCACAAGAAGATTTTTTAAGTTCACTATATAATCTATATAACACACAAACACACACACAGGTGAATCGCTATATGCCACCCGCATCACTGATGCTGCGGTGGCATAAAAACTGTATAATTAAAAATAATAATGGCATTTCATAGAAGTAAACCATATTGAATATCTCTATTCACAATAACCTTAAAGGTCTTTTCAGAGTTTGCACTATTTTCCTGACTATATTTTCAGTTACAGATATTGACTGTGTAATCATATTCAGTCTTTTTTAAACTGTATAATATGAATAAATTAACAAATAGTATATTCTTTAATTGAAATAATTTCTATAAACAATTATTAAATATAGACGAACAGAATCCCCAAAGAATGCCAAGAACAACAAAATTGACAATGTTTCAGGCTCGGTTTTATTGAGTTTGTTCATGGACAGTAATGGAAAGTGTAAGTTACCACCCAACCCCCTAGCACCTGCTTAAGCGGAATTCAACATTTTAAATATGAGAACAGTGAAATTTTGAATTTAGAAAACATCTACAGATATTAAAACCCATATTCTTGCAAACACATGGAAAGTCACAAATGACAGCTAACTTATGTCTTTGTACTTGGCAACCTAGTCTTGCAAAGTTCTCATCCAGTTGTGGGTTTGAGCCAAACAAGGTAACATCAATCATGTTTACTCTTATGCCTCCAGTTATTGAGTAGAAAGTGATTTATAAACTTGCAAAACTTGTTTTACAATCAAGTAAAAATACTATTGAATCTGCCACTGCAGTATTCAGCTTTTTCACTAATTCACCTTTGGCATACTGTCCAAACACATAGACAAGTCATTGACTTCTCACATGCCATCCTGAAAAAAAAAATCTGGAATAAGTCTTAATGAAACAATGAATTGTATATGATGATTTGACTGAACAGATATAAACTACAAGTACATTGTTGTATGATATTGCACAGCTATTAGGTTCATATAAGTTCTTGTGTAATATATTAAAGTATATATATCATGTAGCATTTAGCATGATCAAAATATTCTAAATCTACATTATATACATGTATTGTGATGATGACACCTCATTTTTTATTTCATCAAATAAAGGAAATTTAATATGGAATACTGAATAAATATAGATATGATAAAATCATTACATACTTACCCAAATGAATTTTTTTCTTTATCTTGACCAATACTGTACAGATAATACAAATTGATCCTCTTTTTTACTGCTCAATAGAACATAGATGTCAGTCACACATTTTGCCTCATTTCCAACAATAGTTTAGTACATTCACCAGCAAATAGATTAAATATCTATGTGTCCTGAAAATTATGTATACAGTATATACTTTAATATTAACATTATTTTCCAATACATATATAAAAATGAAAGAGTATTTTGAATATATCACAATGCAGCATTATTTCTTAATTTAAACTTAAAATTTAGTTCCTTTTACTACAGTAGGCCTGCAGAGTTTTTAAATTTTAAAACAATAGTTTTAAGATCTCATGATCATCTCTAAAAATGTTAAATTGATAACAAGTTAAATTTGTTTCAACTGCAATTCAGGAAATCTCATTTTTCATTATTTGATAAAAAGGGTTGAGAATGGTCAGTTCATGATGATTATTTACATAATATGTAATACAATCAATGTAAATTATCTGCTCTTTTAAAGTAAAACAGGTAAAAAACTTACCTATCATTGTGGTCTTGAAGAATATGGCTCCAACATGTGGATGGTTATCTATTTAAAATTCAAAAACTTTTAAAACTGTAATGAACTATGTTGAGAATCTTCACTGTAAACTATGTTGGATGACCTAAAAATCACAAACAAAAACAACACAAAATATTTTCATCAGCAAAAAAAGTCTGGATCATAAATGATAAAAATATCCTTGTACAATATATGGTAATGGTATTCATGAGTACTGGGAATATAATATGATTTATTTATGGAACTTCATAAATTATAGGATTATATTAATAAATGTGTAGCAATATTTATATAGTGATGACACCTTCTTTGGGTATTGTATTTTCAAAAACAGCCTATGTATTGTATTATTTCAAAAGCAGCATACTGTACAGGGTATTAAACATATTTTACCAATCTTAAATTGAAATACAAACTTATGTGTCAACAATTACAGTACAGTAGTGTAGCCTTGAAATTTAATACTATAAATTTTAGTGGTAGTATATGACAAGGCTACAGTACTGTACTGTAACTGTTGACAAATGAGGTTGTATAACACATTTTATTGAAAATAGATTGCAAAAAATATTCTTGTGTCTAGTTACATTTTTTGCATTTTTGTCTCATACTGTAGAGTGGTTGGACCGTGATGCTCGGCGCATACCAATGCTCAGCGTAAAAAATATCTTATTTAGAATATCTGAAAATGTGTTGAGTTATCTCCGATTTAGGCCACTGGTGCTTTTATTTACATCTTTCACCATTTTATAATTTTATAGCTGCGGTCTCACTTACTCCCGGCAGAGCCCAGGACCATCCCAGTAAGTTACTGGGATGATCCGGGGTGAAATTATTGTTGCGGTCACACTTACCCCGCAGCATACGGTAGTTCCCAACTAACCACCAGGATGCGCTCTGGATCATCCAGGCAGAGCCCAGGTGAAGCTACGATTCATGCCGGAGCTTCCTCGGTGTTGCCGGATGACGCTGGAAGAGCCTCGGTTGACCCAGGCAGAGGCCCTGGTTGATCCAGGCAGAGCCCCGGTCGATCCAGGCAGAGCCCCGGTAGAAACCCTGGTGGATTGAAAACACCTGAAAATGATAACATTGATACATAATTTTTTATTAAATATAATTATCTATTGTTCCAGAATAGTAATTCATGACGATTTTCTGAAAAATCTTATGCCATACTGGATAGAAGGGAAATGGGAAGGTTTTATACAAACAAGTGCAATCATCGCAAATTGTCGTTATTCTTTGAAATGATCCGGGCTTTGCCGGGGCTCTACCGGCATCAGCTGTAGCTCTACCTTTATCCTCCAGGGCTTGCCTGGATCGACCGGGCTCTGCCGGCATATACCGGGGCTCTACGGACTTATCATACCCCAGATGATCCCCGGTTTGTGCCGGCAGAGCTATGGTGCTTCCCCGGTATAACCCCGGTTGTTCCCGGCAGAGCTAAGGATGAAGACAGCAAAGCCTATACCTTCCCGGATCATCCCGGTGATATTTTATTTCATCCGGGTCGAATGCCGGGTGTTCCCGGATCATCCCGGACGTTTCCGACAGAGTAACGGATGTACTCAGGTTGTTTCCGATCGTACCCTAGGGCTCTGCCGAGATGTTAGTGAGACTGTAGCTTATCCTGGTGTGGTTCACTGCTGGTAAAGTCACGTGACAATGCAAATAGCAGACGAACAACCGTATCATATAAATTATTAAAATATTTTAACACTAGAGTTCTGGGGCTGTAAATTTAAACTAAAAGTTGGGTAGAGTCTACTTGTAAATGTACGGACCTAATTTGTTTGTTACCTAAATACAATTTATTCAATATGTTTTCTTCATAAGATTAAAAAAGAGATTTTATTCGAAAAACAATCCTGCATCATGTAGCATTGTGTACGCCGAACTATAGTAAAATTTCAGCAAACCACTCTTTGTTTATCATGCACATCATTAGATGTGATTAGCGAATTTTACACAATGGCTATCTAAAAACAATAACATCGGTCTTGAAAATGGACATATAACACTGAGGTTTGTTGACGTTGATTTAAATTTGCCATATCAAAACCTATAGTATTTTTACGCCGGCGTTGGTCCACCCACTCTAGTAAAATTAGCTTTTGTTTTACCACTTGTTTTAATATTTACATTGCAGCCTGGACTTTACCAGTGATTTATTTATTTTGCAATTAATGGAATCAATTGAAAAAAGTTAACAATTTTTTTCTATGAAGACCATCCTTACTGGTTGGGGACCACCAAAACCGGACAACCACCAAACCCGGACGGCCCCGAAAATGCTTAATTTTAGTATTTTCTTTGTTCAGTGGTTGTCAGTCACTTTTTATCAACAATAAGTGCATGTTTTTTATAATTTAAGTAAAATAAATTTATTTTCAACCTCTTTTTAATGGTGATATTTTAATGTCTATTTCAAGAATGTTGACGTTGAAATTTGGGGTCAAGAAAGCAATGCACTGACCTCATATATCATCTTTAATCATTTGCAGAGTGAATAATAGAATATCCAAAACTTCACCATTTGTTGCTGACATATTGTATATCATGTTAAAAATAAAAAATCAAAACACCCAAGCTTTTATCTGAATTGAATCACGTCATGTACATATCTGTCCGGACACATGGTACTGTAGTGTAGACAATTTAGGTAATTTTGATACCCTCCTTGTCGAGCCTTAGATATAAGTGTCAATAAAATCAGAAATAAACAAACTAGTTTGTTAGTTAGGAGAAGAACCTAGCTGAATTGTGTCAAATGTTTTGGTCTCTAGGTTAAAAATTATGAAATCTGTACGGAAAAAATGTTCCAAAAGTGTCCGGTTGATGGTCTCCGACCAGTACAGGAAAGTCCAGGAAACATTGTAGCCTAAAAATTCATATCTGCCATGACCTGATCTAGACTCCTGCCATGTTAAATGTTTTTGGTTTTTTTATAAAAGCAGTAAGATTAAAAAATCATAAAAAAAAAAATCAATTTATAAAATACAAGTCATATTCGGTATCTCCTGTCCGCCACGGATATGACTTTTATAGAACGTAATTCGTATATAACTTAAAACTTTTTTATTTATGGACCAAATTTAACGAACTTTTGCATGTGAATTTATTTTATTATTATAAAAAATCGTATCAAGAAAAAATAATAAAAAAATAATTAGAATCTACTATGTAAAATATAAGTCATATCCGGTATTTAATTTAGTCATATCCGCGGTATTAAGACATGCCGGATAAAATGATAAGATTCAAACGCTATTCAAAATATTATAAAAGATAACCAACAAAAATAGCATAAATAATAACGGATTCACTTACCTTAATATCTTTATAACTGTTTAAAACCTCCAAATTTGCAGTATCGATATATCTAATGTCCCAAAACAGAACCCAAAGAGTGAAGGATAAAACTCTAAATTGCAAGTCGTTTCTTCGTAGACACTAAATAGTAAACCGAAATGAGGCGGAGTTATGCCAACCGGACTACTTTACAAAACCGCACTGCGCTGTTATGAGGGCTGTTATGAGCAGAAACGGTGTGCATTTCAGCCGCTCCGAATTTATATTCCAGCTGGAACCCCTCGGCTATTATTATAAACCTTTGTTTATCGGAAAAAGCCGAAAAGTTGCGATTTATGATAATTGACGAGTTGCACCGAGTAATGTGCTACGTAACGTCCTGTGGAAATTCCCACTTACTAACAGGAAAGGATAATGAAAGGAAGAATTGCGAAGTTTATGTTCATACAGTTCATCAAATGATTGCTGAATGATTGTACCATAATTCATTTGATTTGGCAGTATGTATTGCTTAATAAGTATTTGGTAGACTTATATGTCAAAATTATTAAAGTAGAGAGTAGAAAAAAGTTAATTTTAAAAGCGAAAGTAGTGATTTTATGGGACTTGGTCTTGGGTTCTGGGAATAACCTATATTTACCTATCAGTAACTAGATACAAATGATTCATAGACTTTCTAAATATATAAGAATGTTGCTTTTTATAGAACGAAGATTTTTCCATACTTTTAGTTTAATCTGTTGAGTGTCTGATAGTTTTACTTTTAGACTAACAGGTAAGTATAATGTAAGATGAATTATTTTTCCTTTATCATGTTCCTTTGTTCCTTCCAAAGTTTGTGATGAGTACCCGTTTATCGTTTTGTCTGAATACCGAATATGAATTCTTATTCACGAATATTAATGGGAGTAATGAATATGAACATTATTTTCTAAAGGATCAGCTGTTTAGGTATTTTTTTTGTCAACAGAGACTGTATTATGTATCATTTAGTTTTACTTGTATCATATGTCTTTGAATGAAAGATAATGAATTCCTGAAATTATTTGGTTGTAAATTATTGTGAACAGAATGTCAATGATACCCAAATATGAACAAGAATGATGAATATAAACATTATTATTTATAAAAGTGAAAAATTGACACTATTATGTTATGGTTTATATTTGCTTAGTGAAAATTACTTATAGAGAATAACATGCTACTGTCTTTTGATATCAATTTAATCAGACAAGGCTGTTTGTTTATCTTTTCCATTTCATTGAAGCTATTTACAAACAACACTTATCAAATAATACTTTATTTTTTCACTTTTCAAGTAGCAAATATTCACCATGGTATATTTTAATTATAGTGTATACTTTGACTCTACGGCAAAATTTTATGAAAATAATATTCATATTCGATATCTCTTCATATTGGCGAATATGAATTCATATTTGGTATTTAGTCATAGACCTGGTTTTTTGGTCCGATTTATCATCATGTCATAAATGAATTAAACCAAATTAGCAATCATCAATTCAAATTTTAGTAAACTTTAATAGTTATCGTTGAAATTTGTACATGTATATTGACTTTCAGGGTTATTATTATTAACTGATTGGCGATCCAAAATGCTGTTAAAATTGGTTGTATTTTCATCCTGTATATTAAAGTATCACCCTTGACCCTTGGTAATATCATTTGTTTTCTTTGGAGCATCTGTTGCCTCTGATAAAAATGTAAACCCTGCTTTATGCTTCAGTTAAGAAACAAAAAAGTATGTTTTGACTAGTGGTATTGTTTTGACTAGTGGTATGATAATTGTAAATCTTGTTTTTAGGTACAGAAAAGAAAAAACAAAAATGGCTTTAAGAGACCCAGTAAACACTCAGCTATCAGTGGATTCTGATCCAGTGGCTCCACTAGACAGATATGTAGAACAAAATCACATAATAAGTCTCAGTAGCAGAAATGATGTTTCAGCAGATGCCATGGCCGGACCCCAAGGTTTGTTGCTTTGTCTCTTGTTTTTAAAACAAAGTAATTTCTATCCCAAACTAAAAGGCATTAGTCATGTTCCCAAAATAGTGTAAAAAATATTGTCAGTATTAAAAACTTACAGTGCTTAAAAAATATTATCAGTTTAAATCAATAATGATAGGTTATTCATAAAGTTCAAACCACAAGTACTGTAATGAAATGGGACAGCTTATATGAATAATAAATCTTTTTAAAACAAAATCATGTTATTTAAAAAATAATATTCTTATATACTTTTATTTGATATGCATATTTTACAATCTTTGCTAAATGTTTTTATAGATGCACGTAGAAGATCAACAAGGGAATTGAAAGCAGATGCAAAAGAAGCCGCCCAGCACGATATTGGTAATTTTATGTGTTTCTTTTTGCTTTAGCTGACAAACTACATGGCCTGGATCTTAGATATTTGACATATAGCCCAGAGACTACTTTAGACTTGAAATTGACTTTTTCCTCATGGATATCTAGCGAGAAATTCTAAAATTTGGTGAGAAGTGATCACATCACAACTTTACAGGATATTGTGTTCACTCGCTGTTAAGCATAGCAGTCAAGCTATTTATTTGTTTATGGTGTTAGTTTTGTTTTATGAACAATGTTAAACAAGCATCATAGTTGCTTTTAGGAAATACCATTATATTTAAAGAGTTGTCCTTTAATTTATTTACCCTGTTGTAAAGGGCTTTGCTAATTTTATCTTTTTAACCTTCACTCCAATTACTTTTCTGATATTTTGGCACCTAAAGCTGAAGAGACTGGTGTCTATTTGCTATGCAGTGTGCGTTGTGTTTAACCAGAATGGCAACCATCATGATTCTGCAAATTTGCAAACAGAAAAATGTCTGAAATGAGCAATTAAGCCAGCACATCAAAAGATGTTTAAAATCTTATTCCGTTTTCTGGCAAGTTCTACTCATAAGAATGTAACAAAGACCACAAGGATACACGGGGGTTTAATAACACAAGCATATTTAAACACATAACATGAACTGATATTTTCAATCTATTGTTATCATGGGCTGAAACCTTACAACATCACATTTTTTTAATAGGACAGTTTCGTCTAAAGGGGAAAGATTGGGGTAAGGGGGATGTAGTTTACAGTATGAACACAACATAATCCCCTCAGACATTAAGATTTAAACTGAATGTGATTTGTATTTATTGATGGGCTTTTGTCCTACTCATTAGTTGGAAATGTATATGGAAGGAATTTTTACTAAGAAATTTGCTGCTGGTAACTACTTATAAACCAAGTTTGAATGATATTATACTCATTTAAAGTATAAACTGTTTAACTGTTACACCTTTGTATTGTTCTTGGAGCTACTGGATTTCACAAATATGTGATTTCATCATTATTATCTATCAGATGTCATATATGAGATTCACTAGGTTTATATATAGAGGATATTGAATGAGTGTAGTTTAATACTAAATTTATTGAACAAGTTGAATAAAAACATATTATGTGAGCCTCTGGCGAGCATTATATTGTTTAATTCAACAAGTTCAATAAATTTAGTATTGAATCTACACAAATATAATATTCTATTCATCACATATGTAAAATAAGAACAGTAAATTGTTAAAATGAGTAATTTTTCAATGACGCACCCATAATGTAACGCTTACATTAGCGCGCTTTTACCCCATGTTTCTATGTAGCGCAAATGACGTCACATCAAAGTGTTATTACACTAGTGTAATATAGTTTTTATTAAATGGCTTTATTACACTCCTGCGCTGTGGTTTATGTGATAAACTTAATTTCATTTATATATTGTTTTTCTGTCTTTGATTACAGAAAAATTGCCAGCAAAGTCTTCTTCAGGTAGTCGATCAAGAAATGAATTGGATCAAATTGAATCAGAAATATATAAAAGGGTGGATAGTTTAAACCTTTCAAAAGGACGGGACAGCAGTTATAGTTCAATGAGTTCTATGGATAGTTTAAGCTGTAGTAGTATGCCGTCTGCTGATTGGGAGGAAGAGTTAAAACAATATGAAAATTCCATGCCACCTGATATTCGACTGGAATATATTGATGTACTGATTCTGTATTGCGAGGAAGATCGCAAGGAGGCGCAAAAGTTTCAAAAACACTTGAGAGAGGAGATACCTTTGAGCAATGGTCCGATAAAAACATTGTTGTATGATGATTCTGAAATGCAGGCAATATCTGCATCAATGATAGGTCATCTAGAAAAGGTGGTTCAAAGAAGCACTTATGTTTTTATATTCATGACTAAAAACTTTATAGACGATAAATGGTGCGAGTTTTCTAGTGAAAGTTGCCTAATGGAGGCGATTACAAATCCACTTAAGCAATGGTGTGTAGTGCCAGTATATACAGAAAAACGTAATACATCTTTCAGGGTCCCAATGGGGCTAAATACATTAAAAGGTATTAACTACTACAACAATGATAGATTTTATAAAAATGGTGTGGCAAGATTGATTGGTGATAAGATATATGTCCGGATTAAAGCAAATGAAGAGCATAAAATAAAACAGAAAAAATGGTTGGAAGAACATAAGAGGGAACAAGCAGTATTGAAAGAGAAGCAACGAAGAGTAGAAGAGACTCAAAAAGCTATGACACAACAATTATTAGATTGGCTCGACAAGGAAACTAGGAGATTAATTCATGCTGGTATCCTGCCCGACTTTTTACCCCACTCCAGTTCTGAAAGTGAAATATCCAGTCATGCTTCATCTATACCGCACTCTTCAAGTTCAAACAGCCTAAAACCAATTCATCCACAATCTCCAGCTGTAGCGGCATACTTCCAGGACCTGCTTGCTCAACAAAAACAATATAACTGGAACTCAAATAATTATTCTCCCCAACAAGTTCGAATAATAGAACAAGTCTATGGTGGCCCAGGCACGCCAATCTATAGCCCACCTGTGATGAATGCCTCCCAAGGTCAAGGTTATGGGCATTTCCCGCCTGGTCCCAGCTCTGCATCATATAACCAAAATTATCATCATGTGAAGCGAAGCACTTCTCAGACCAGTGCAGATATGGGACCATCAGCAGAATTTGTACTTCGTACAGAAACTGGTGATTTTCCTGTCTCAGTGCCTTCTGTGTTGATTGATAAAATTAAGAATGAACCAGAAGATAAAAAACAGATGTTTGTGATACAATACTTGGAAGAATTTCGTAAACAACAACTGCAGGTTAATCAATCAGAAGTTGCTTCTCAAAACAGAGCAGCATCAAACCCAGGCAGCAGATCACAAGAAGTCCCATATAATTCACAGACACAGTCTAACCCTGGCATTTTACTTCCAAATTTTCATGATCTGTCATTGCACAGTGATAGAACTTCTATTCCTGCCAACTCGAGTATTTATTCACAACCATTACAGACTGGTGTGTCAGGGCATGATATGTCCAGTCAGAATCCAACAAGACCGAGTCTGCGTAGTAATTATATGGACGGAAACAGTAGTAATTTTCCAGGTAATTCTTTTCTAAAAAAGTTCCACTCAAATGTAAATTAAATTTTTTATGCCCCCACAAAGTGGGGTGCATATAGCGTTGCACTTGTCAGTCCGTACGTCTGTCCGTCCGAGCAAACATTTTGGGTTTAGGGACTATATAACAGTAAAGAGAACAAAAGAGAACTAAAGGTTCATTTTGTGATCAAAGGGTTAAGGGGCTAGTAGCCCTTAAGAAAACAAAGACAATAACAAAGAAAATAGCCCCTAAAGCCAAAATGTTGGAACATCCGTCCGTATGTCCCGAAATCTTGTGAACGCAACTCCTTTTAAACAGGTTGGCAGATTTTGCTTAAACTTTCAGGGATGAACAACCTTAATGTGTAGATGGTAGTAAAGGAAGGACTTTTCGCTGCAACCAAATTTAACAGAATTATGGCCCTTTGTTGATTTTTTCACTATATACTATGTAGAAATTTTGTGAACGCAACTGCTCTTAATTAAACCGGATGGCAGATTTTGCTTAAACTTCCAGGGATGAACAACTTTAATGTTTAGATGGTACTAGAGGAAGGAATTTTTGCTGCGACCAAATTTAAGAGAATTATGGCCCTTTGTTGATTTTTTCATTGTATACCATATAGAAATTTTGTGAATGCAACTCCTCTTAAACCCGATGGCAGATTTTGCTTAATGTGTAGATGGAAGTAAAGGAAGGAATTTTTGCTGCGACCAAATTTAACAGAATTATGGCCCTTTGTTGATTTTTTTCACTATATACCATATATATGTTGTCAGTGGGGGCATCCGTGTCCTTTGGACACAGTTCTAGTTTATACTATATTCCTGTATTATTTTTAGCCAGACTTTACAAGTATAAGGGTAGCTCTCTTTCTCACCCTGGCAACATTGAGATTTCTGGTTAACGTTTGTAGTACTATTACTTTGTTATTTCTTGATGGATTAACTTCAATCTTCAATTGTCATATTACAAGTTCCTTTTCACCCACCCACATTTTAAAATTTGAAAGGGTTTTAAAAAATTCAAGCCCCCATATTTTAAAATTTAATCTTCTTTTGAATTAAAGATTTCCCAAAAAATTTTTATTTTTTTTGTTTTTTAAGTTTTGGCATGTGCCCCAAAATTTTGGGGTTTCCTATACACAAGTTTGCCCCCCCCTAGGGTCATTTAAAAAAATGTCCCTTTTTTAGAAAAACTCCCTTTCAAAAATTTCTAGAAGCTACAAACCCAAGAAAATGAAAGTAAATTTTTAGAAAAAAGTTTGATAAGACTTTTGTTTTAAAAAATTTAAAAGGGAAAAAAAGAAAGAATTCAAATGGGGTTTTACAGTAAAATGCTGTATTGATAAGAGTTTAATTGATGTTACTGTAATTGGTTGAATTCCAGATTTGATAAAAGGGATTTTAATTGATAGTTTAACTGATCTTAATGTTTTTAGGTGGAGGAAACATACCAAACCAAAGTCTTCTTGAGCAAGATGCTGGTTCCAGTCTTGAATCAAGTAGGAACCAGTCCATGTCTTCCAGACAGGAACATGTTTATCAGACAGCAAAAAGTACAGTTAAAGAGACCCAGTCTGATTCTGGTTCTGATGATGAATCTCCAAAAAACAAGAAGAAGAGTAAGGGAAAAGGAAAACAAGTTGTACATATCGTAAGTTTAAGTTTATTTGAGCCATGCATTTCTAGAAATCAAATTGTGGCATATTTATACTCTCGGCTGCATACATTAGTTATTTATCTGACTTGATCACACTCTGCTCTAACTCTATGATGAACAATTAGTTTCAGTCAAAGTTATTTATCTCACTTGATCACACTCTGCTCTAACTCTATGATGAACAATTAGTTTCAGTCAAAGTTATTTATCTCACTTGATCACACTCTGCTCTAACTCTATGATGAACAATTAGTTTCAGTCAAAGTTATTTATCTCACTTGATCACACTCTGCTCTAACTCTATGATGAACAATTAGTTTCAGTCAAAGTTATTTATCTCACTTGATCACACTCTGCTCTAACTCTATGATGAACAATTAGTTTCAGTCAAAGTTATTTATCTCACTTGATCACACTTTGCTTGAAGATGAACAATTAGTTTCAGTGAAATGTCTGTAGTTTACTGTTCGCATTTTGACAAATATGTACATGGAACGTCTTTGGTTGAAACGGAATTCATTGAGTCAGTTAAAGTCAAGTGTTAAAGTGAATGGTTCTACAATGGGCATAATTTCAAAAGTAATTCAAATAATAATTCAAATATTTTATAAAAACCATAAAAAAACCCACAGAAATGTATCATTTGGATGTTTTTATAGAATAGTGCTTGAAAAAATTGCTGATGAGAGTTCTAAGTGATTTCGTATGAATATTAATATGATGAATAATAATGATATTTTGTTCAAGAACATTTTATTATCTGCTTTATAAATGTTTGCAATATTGGATTAGGTATCTAAAATTGCCAACAACATCCATATATAATTCTTTTGTCGTTTGGTGATATCTCTGATACTAAAAACTATCAACATAATTATTTATTGTAGTACAGCCCTTTAGTTTGGTGATTTATAGGTCAAATATAAAAATCACTAGGTCATGTCACCAGAAACCCATGTTAACACATATTTTAAGTAAGTGCAGTATGAAACTTGCTCAAAGCATTTGCCTTGATGTAACTTGCCGAGAGTGTTTGTTTCAATTTTTTTTTTCAAGGTAAAGTTTGGATATGGATCAAACAGAAAAATTGTTCATTTAAGTATAAATGAGGTGATTTTCATTTCAGCACAAGACGTACATTTATCAACCTGGAACAGTTCAGATAGGAGATCATAATGTGGTACAAGAACAGGGCATAGAACAAGAGAATAGTGAAGGAGAAGATGGGGAGAGTTTCTCTAAGGTTTCACAGTTACCATACACTGACACCAAGACCATGAACACAGATAATCAACACAACAGGTACTTTTATTGTTTTGATTAAGAGGCTTGACCAGCTGGATTTATATATAATATGTTTACTTTTATACAAGAACTGAGTTCTGTATTTAGACACTAGAAGCTTATGATAAGTTAATAACTAGTTAACTTGTGATTGCTGTCAGATGTCTTGTATGTGTGTCACAGTTACTTATTAGGTGACCTGTGGGTCAAGGTCAGTATGATAGAATAATCATTTATGAAAATAAGTATCCATTTAATTAACTTATGGTAAGAATATCACACTACCATGAAAGTTGATGTGTTGGTAATTTGTATTGGGATCCAGTTTATTGTACCTCCCTATAGGGGGGCATTTAGATTTACCCTAGTCCGTCCATCCATCCGTCCTCATTTTGTGTCACACATAGCTTATAAAGTATTTGACGTAGAGTCATGAAACTTTACAGGAAGGTTGCTCAGCATATATAGTTGTGCATCTGGGTTTTTGTGCAGATGTTTTTTGTATTTGTAGAGTAATTGTCTTTGAATTAGTAAAAATTTGCAATTTTCAACTTGTGTCGCATGTAGCGCAAAAAGTAATTGACCTTAAGTCATGAAACTTTACAGGAATGTTTATCAGCATGTGTAGTTGTGTGCCTGGGTATTTTTGTGTGGATTTATTCAGTATTTGTAGAGTTGTGAACCTTGACTTACTATAAATTTGCAATTTTCAACTTGTGTCATTCGTAGCTCAAAAAGTATTTGACCTAGAGTCATGAAACTTTTCAGGAATGTTGCTTAGCATGTGAAGTTGTGCACCTGGGGTTGCTCTTGTTGATTTATTCTGTTTTGTTAGAGTTATTGCCGTTGACTTAGTAAAAATTTGCAATTTTCAACTTTTTTATTTTTGAACTTGCAATAAATATTTGACCTAGAGTCATAAGATTGAAAAAACTGGAAATTTGGGGCACCTGTGTCCTATGGACAACTTTCTAGTTATAACTATTTCACTTATTTCAGTCATTTGAGCTGTCTTTGGATTAGTTAAGGAATTTGGTATATTTGTAATAACATATGATACAACTTAGTTGTTGATAAACATTTTCAGTTTATTACTTTGAGTTACAAATAAATTCTGTTCACTGTTTCAGCAACTCAGAGGAGAAGCAGAAGATGAAGAAAGTAGAGATAGAGACTGGGTCTGAGACCCATGGAGAAATGCAAGACCAACCAGGCTCCTCTGGTGCAAGTAGCTCGTGTAATGTTGATGCAGCACCATCTACTGTGAACAAATTACATTCAACCATCTCAGAGAAATATCCTGCAACACAAAAAAAGTCAACACCCGGGGTATTAAGCTTACTTATTAATATCTTGATACATGTGTCTAATTTAGTAATGCATCATTATTATCATTTTATTGTGATACTTTTTCTTTATTATACTATTTTAAAAGCTGTCAATTTTGAAAATAACATTTTTGTGCCCCCACGTTAGTGGCGGGCATTTAGATTTACCCTTGTCCGTCCGTCCGTCCGTCTGTCTGTCCGTCTGTCTGTCCGTCCGTCCGTCCGTCCGTCCGTTCACTTTTGTGTCGCACGTAACTCAAAAAGTATTTGACCTAGAGTCATGAAACTTTACAGGAATGTTGATCAGCATGTGAAGTTGTGCACCTGGGTATTTTCTTCTGGATATTTTTAGTATTTTCAGAGTTATTGCCCTTGACTTAGTAAAATTTTGCAATTTTCAACTTGTGTCGCATGTTACTCAAAAAGTATTTGACCTAGAGTCATGAAACTTAACCGGAATGTTGATCAGCATATGTAGTTGTGCACCTGGGTATTTTTGTGTGGATATTTTTAGTATTTTCAGAGTTATTACCCTTGACTTAGTAAAATTTTGCAATTTTCAACTTGTGTCGCATGTAACTCAAAAAGTATTTGACCTAGAGTCATGAAACTTTACAGGAATGTTGATCAGCATGTGTAGTTGTGCACCTGGATATTTTTGTGTGGATATTATTAGTATTTTCAGAGTTATTGCCCTTGACTTAGTAAATTTTTTGCAATTTTCAACTTGTGTGGCACGTAACTCAAAAAAGTATTTGACTTAGAGTCATGAAACTTTACAGGAATGTTGATCAGCATGTGTAGTTGTGCACCTGGGTATTTTCGTCTCGATGTTTTTGTATTTTTAGAGTTATTGCCCTTTACTTAGTAAAATTTTGCAATTTTCAAACATGTGTCGCACGTAACTCAAAAAAGTATTTGACCTAGAGTCATGAAACTTTATAGGAAATGTTGATCAGCATGTGCAGTTGTGCACCAGGTATTTTTCGTCTGGATTTATTTAGTATTTTTAGAGCTATTGCCCTTCACTTAGAAAATTTTTGCAATTTTCAACTTGTGTCGCAAGTTACTCAAAAAGGATTTGACATATTCATTAAACCTTACGGGCAGATTGCTCAGCATATTTAGATTTGCACCTGGGGTTTCGCTTGTGGATTTATCCAGTATTTGTAGAGTTATTTCCCTTGACTTAGTAAAAAGATTGACAGAACAGTGGCGCGGTGGGGGCACCCGTGTCCTATGGACACATTTCTAGTTTGTTTTATATATTACAGTAGCCTGATTTGTTTATGAGAAAATTAATATTTTCATTGTGAACAAAGTGTGGTTTTAGCGTACATATCACAGGATCCTTTTTGATTTATTTATGGTTGGTAACAACAAAATCTATATGGACACATAAAATGCTTTATTGTGACACAAATTTGTTTTGATATTTGAATTATCCATTGTTTTCTGTGTGGTTTCAATAGAAAAGTCTCTAATTAAGCAGCCAAAAGTATAGGGTCTAGGAAGACTTCTTCTTAGACTTGTGTTATTGATGTATTGTTCTGATATTAATGGGGGATATTTGTATGATTTCAGGGGCTAAAAATGAAAGAAGAAATAGAAGAGGCACAGGAAGTTTTTCCTGATGAGAAAAACATTGATAGTGTATTTAATTCGGTGAAAAAATTTGAGAATAGCTCAAAATTTGATGAAAGTTGTGAACATGGAATGGAAGACAAGAATTCACAATTTGAAGGAAGTGTAAATTTTAACAGTTCTTCTTCAGAAAAATCAAGTTCTCTCAAAAGAAAGGAAATACCAACAGGGGAGAGTACTCCCATGAAACAGACTGGTTCACCTAGACCTGTGGCTGCAGTTTCACCATTCAGTCCGAAGGTAAACGACGATGACAGTGATGATAATTGTGACAATACAGACCCTAAAACTGTAGTTCACAGCAAATTATCAGGTACCAGTGAGTCAGTATTAAGACAAGGAGAAGATACGGAACAGACATATGTAAAACTGGCATGGCAACCCACCAGTCAAAAACAAACAGAACAATTCCAGAGAAATTCTCCTGTACAGCTATTAACAAAAGCTCGTGTTTCGGATAACTCGTCTAATGGTGCTTTCACAAGGGCAAAGTTTACTGATCCTCAGAACTTGTTTTTCAGCAAAAATAATGCATGTAAAACTGTGTATCATCATGAGGAGGGAAAGTCTGGTAAACTGAGGCAGGAAGTTACACTTGGTACCGATCCTTTGTCCCGGGAAACTCAAGAAGGTATGGTAGAAAGTTATGGAACGCCTGTATAGTGTTATGGTAACACTCTGTTTTAAGGTAACAGTCTAAAAAATCCTGCATAAAGCACAACTAAAACACTCCTCCCTATATAAATTACTTTTTCTCTTACATTTGAAGTGTATTGATATTATTTATTCTCTCACATAGATACATTAAATAGATCCAGCTTAGTTTATTACTAGCAAATATTTTTAATTTGGAAACAAGGTATTTATTGAGAGGTTTTTATTTTAATTCAATTTTGTGAAGAAAAAATGTGGGGGCTATTGTCCTGACACTCTCTTCGGTGTTGGCGCGAGTTAACGTTTTCCATTTTCTATATTTACTTAGAACTTAGTGTACTTGTTTATTGTCATAAAAGGAGGCTATTTCAAAGGTTGTCCGTCCACATTTGTTCGTTAACACTCTAGTATACTAGTCACATTTTGCCTCAATCATCATCAAACTTTGTCAGGATGCTTGTCTAGGTAATTGCTCACATGAGACCAAAAATGGGTCATCTCGGATGAAAAACTAGGTCACAGGAGCTAAAAATAGAAAAATCTTGTTAACTCTCTAGTGGCTACTGTTGTTATCCAAATATCCTGGAAATTGGTCTGTAAGTTTGTTTTGTGATTTCTAGGTCATATTTGAATATGGGTCACTTCGGGTCAAAAACTAGGTCACACTGCCCAAATATCGAAAAACCTTTTTAACACTCTTAGAGGTCACATTGTTGTCTCAATTGTTATCAAACTTGGTCAGGATGCTTGTCTAAGAAATTGCTTGGATGAGTTTGATTGGTCGGGTGAGCGATCTAGGACCATCTTGGTCCTCTTGTTTTTTTAAACTGTTTGCTGTTTTACTTTGGATATGTGATAAATAGAATATTATATTCGTGTAGATTCAATAATTGATTTTACTGAATAAAACAATACCATGCTTGCCAGATGCTGTCAATGTATGATTTTATTCTACTCATTCAATAAATTTAGTATTAAACCTACACTCATTCAATATCCTCTATATATTAGTTTTATCCCTCAATTTAATATTTTAATATGCTTCACATTATTCCCTATTTACACTGATAGGTCTTTGATGTATTGTTACAGTCATGTTGGTGTTGCTGTTGCCGTCCACAAACTTTATTAACATTAGTCATAATTTAATTTTTAGGTGTATTGTCTTCATACTTGGCCACAATTCTTGGGACAAGACCTTCAAGTAGACCAGACTAAACTTGGCCATTATTCATAAATGACATTGACCTTCAAGGTCAAATGTCTAAATTTTGCTTGATTTTTGCTAATCTTTGCTATAAGTGGCTATAACTTTGTTATTAATGAATGAATTGACTTTATATTAAGATACAACATTCTTTAGGATAAGACTTTATGTAAATCAAGCTCACATTGACATTGGCTCATTTATAACCTTGACCTTAAATGTTAAATTATTGAATTTTTAAAAATATTTAGGCTATAATTGACTGTAACTTTGGACAGGACCTCCTAAAAGATTAAACTCACCATGACTTAGAGCTTTAAATGACCCTTACAGTCAAGGTCATATTATTGAATTTTGGTTAAATTGTTATAAGTTTGTCATTTATATGCGGATTTGATTTATACTTGACTTGCTACCGTACAAACATTTTGAAAAATTTAGATGTGACCTTGACCATAAATTAACCGTGACCGTCAAGATAAAATTAATGAAATCCTCTTGTTTTGTCCATAAGGCACAACATCTTTTAGGTCAGGACCTTCATGAATATCAAAGTAAAATTGACCTTGATCTCTACCGTCTTGGTCAAATTACTGAATTTTCGCGGATAATTGTCTGTAACCTTTGTCAATGGATTATCTTCATACTTGGACAAAACAACCTTTTGGACAAGACCTTCTAAAAGGTTGAAATGAAGTTGTCAAAATTTTATTTATGTAGGGATTTGACAAAACAACACAGTCCACATGTCCAAACGGACATGTTGAATAATTTAGATATGGCCTTAACCTTTAAATAACCTTGACTGTCAAGGTCAGATGATTGAATTTTGCTTATATTTTCTTATCTTTGTCATTAATTTATGGGAAAGATTCAATTTCATACTTAGACAAAACAACAAGTGTGACTAGACAGAACAATGAGAATTAAAAAGGAAAAACTTAAATTTTTTCTTTAATTTTCTTTTTAAAGATTGATTTTCTACTTATAGTTTTTTTTTTAAATGCTTTTAGAAAAGGTAAAAGAAGTTGAGCATTGCCTTCCCACAGTGGTTGCTCTTGTCTTAGATTGCAGCAGTTTATCATTCAAATACTTTGTAATTAATTATATTTCTGCACATTTGAACTCAAACTGAGCAGAATTCTACAACAATGCATTAAGAATACATAAATGTATAAGGCATTACATAAATCATGGATCAAACTGTAGGGTTTACCTTAAAAGATGTGAAATTTTGAGGATTTTTTGTCTTTTTTTTTTAATTGAAACCTAGAAATTCTCAACATTTTAACTTAACCTTGTGACTGATGTTCAGATACTTAAATGTGCAGAATTTGAAGTGGCTATTATGTTTCCAACTTCCTTTTCATATATTATTGAGGATGTTTAAGAATAAGATTGGCGTTACTATATATAGATCTGCTTTTGATAGTAAATATGTATGGCTATTTGAACTGCCTGAGCTATTTTTATAGATTCTAGAATTCCCATTCAGTGAGCTGGTTATTTCTTAAAACATTTCTTAACTTTCATGTTTAATTATTTCAACATTGTGTTTTAATAAAAAAAAATGTTTAAGGGTCAATAAAGCACTGCTGTTTATAAATTTTAAGGTTATACATGTAGGTACTTTTTTTGTGGTAAATTCAGCAGATTAAGAAAGTTAAGAGTTTTTTTTACCTTATCTTCTAAAAATGGTAAAAATGTACCATTTCATTTAATAGAGATACTCTGGAAGTCCGAACTAGGCAAATGTAGGTTTTTCCTGCTAATACTGGGGTACAAACAAACTTGCAGTTAAAATTAGGTAAATTTAACAGTATAAAGTGCAAGTTCAAGCCACTTTAAATTCACCACAGTTTTGCTGACCAGGACGTCAAGCTTTACCAGTATTAGATGCCATCACTTTTGCAAGAAACTCCTTTTTCTTATGTACATGTCAGAGAAGAGGTACAGTGTGAATGACTGTAGAAAGGATTCATAATCAATAACAATGAAAGTGACCTGCGCCATCCGGGAGTCGAACCCAGGTTGACTGCTTCACAGTCTAACACTCTAAGTCCATGACTCAAACGAAACTGGTTATTGGGTCTAGAATGTATAAAGCTTCAAGAGTTTTATTAATTATGTAATTTTTATTTAATTTTTTTTTTTAAAAAAAAGAGTTTTTCTGTATTTAGTGAAATGTTTTAAATTGAAATGTTAAAAGGGCTTTTTTAAAAAATTAACATATTTTTTTTAAATCCCTTAGGTTTTTTGTCTAATAATTTTCCTTACTAAACCTTTTATGTTTCTTTGTAAAAAAAGCTGGGGGGGAAAAAGGGTAATTTTTCTTTAAAATTGTTAAAATTAATCTTTTTTTTAAAAAAAAATTCAAATTTTTCAAAAGTTAATTTTAAGTGAAACCCAATTTCTTTTTTTAGTTTCTAAAAGTTTGTAAATTAACTTTCATTTTGGCCTTTTTCCCATTTTTTTTTTTAATTTGTTAAAATTAAAAAATTTTTCTTTTTTAAAAACCCCAAAAAAGCTAATTGAGGATTTTTGCATGAAAATTTTAAGGCCTATTTTCCCCCGTTTTTCCCCCCCCCCCCCTATTATTTAATGAAAACTTTTTAAAATTAATGCCTTTTTTTTCGTTTCATTTTCATTGGTACATTTTCATGTGCTTTTTTGGAATTAAAATGTTTGAACTTTTGGTGCTGCTTTGTATTGATACAGAAATTTTCTATATTGATTTTTTTTTTTTCAAAAATTTTTTTTGTCAGCTCTTTTTTTAAAATTTGCTTGTTAAGCAATACATTTTTTTAGTAAAAACACAAAAAAAAAAAATGTAAAAAATGGTTAAAAGTGTAGGATAAAAAGTGAGCAAGAAAAAACTTTTTTTTTTTTTTTTTAAATTATAATTTAGATCCCTGATATAATTTTTTACGCAAAATCATCGCCTTTTTAAACTCAGATGATGATGAGATGATCTAAGTAGGGCATTTGCAGACCCCCAAAACCAAGAAACAGCCAATTACCCTTGTGAAAGCTCATCTTTTGAACAAAGTGGTACAAAATCAAATAAAACCTGGAATAGAAAAGGGTCACCACCTAGTAGTAATTCAAAGAAAGAATGTATAGTATCCTGAACAGCTTTGTAAATATGCTCGAAAGGGTATTTTATTTAGACCAAAAGGAAAGTTTTTTGGATCATTGACTTTCAATTGCACACTACTTGGGATTAAAATGTTTGTGCAGTAAGTCTATAAATAGAATTTATGTCAGTGTGTTTTTCCAGAGGTCTTAAAATAGAATTAATATGATTATTACAAAATTTGCCCCAAGTTTTTTTTAATATGTTTAAATTTTGTATTGATTGTTAACTTCTAAATTTTTACCTGCTATTTATTTTTTTTTAAAGATGCTTTCTGAATTTGTTTCTTTATTTTTTTTTTTGAAAAAAGTACATTTTAAAATTTTAAATGCTTGTGTGGGTTTTTGATACGGGTGTTTTTTTTATTTTTCATCCAAAATAGCTGTAAAAAACCCCTGATCCCATATGAAAAAATTCATATGCAAGGGAAAAAATAAAAAAAATATCACAAAATTTTTAAAAAAAGATAGTGCAGAAAAAATTTGTTTATAAATAAACTTTTTTTTGTGATTTTTTTTTTTTAAAATTTTAAAATTTTTTATTGTTTTTTGATGACATGTTAATTGATTGTAATAAAAAAAGAAAATAAAAAAAAAATTTTTCTGGGCTTTATAATTTTTTTGGAGAAAAAATTTTTTAATTTGGTTAAAAAAATTCTTTTTGAGGAAACTATTTCTCATAAGTTAAGTGGTAAAATTTAAATTTTTATAGGAAAAAATTTGAAAAGGAGATGG